AAATCAGTGGAATATAACTTAAGATCCATTTCGTTGTCCATACTAGTGGTCGGCAACCTTTTTTAAGTGACGAACCGGTAAAGCCTGACGTAAATTTTGGCGGACTACCTTTTATTCAAACGAACTAAGCTTATGCAATAAGTTATACACGTTAGGAAACTTATGTTGACAATATATTGAAAAACGAAAGCCATGCTATTTAATGCGATATCTGTATTTATTGGGTGGCCATTAACTGTTCCAATATTAGAGATATGGTCGACACTGACACATGTAACGTGTTTCATACAGACTACTTCGATATTTCGTTTTTTGTAGTTATCAATATTGAAAACCAGGCCTCACATTAATAAGATGTTGGGATAGGTAACAATGCCTGTAAACCTTCTGTCTCTAGTCTGGGTATTGACTGATGTTCGATTGAACATTTGATTTTATCATTTTTTACCCGATGTGTGATTTTATGATTTTTTTTCACCCGATGTGTGACTTTATGATTATCCTGATTCCCGAAGTATAGATTTAGCACTGACTGGTCATGACCGGTTAGCTATGAGCAAGTAGTGGAGTAGTCACTAGTCACGTTCCTAGCGAGAATCATTTTGTTCGAGAGATCTTACTCCGACTGATGTGAGACTTTCTTATACGGGCGTTGAGGAAACAATTGACCCAGCGTCAATGCGACATAATGACATGGGAATTGTTTGTGAAGTCAGACACGCTGCTGAAATGCGTTTTGTTTGTCTGGTTTAGTGCTTTTTTTGATCATGGAGTATGTGGTTAGATTGCATAGGCTTCATTAGGGCCTTGTCCGTTTCTGTGTCACATCTCTGCGGACCGGTAGTAACCTTTCCGCGGATCGGCGATTGGCCGCGGCCCGGTGGTTGCCGACCACTGGTCTATACTATACGTACAGCCAACAGAACAATACGAAATAACCATTTCCAACAGCCAAACAACACGGAAACGTATAATCCGACTTGCAACTGACAGGAGCCAAATGGACGTTTTTGTTTTATTGCCGTCCAGTAACAAAGTCACGTGACCCGTGCAAGTCCTCTATATATGCACATTGCATGTACTACAGTCCAGCAGTGTTTGCATACCAGTACTAGACTATATCTACACTAAATTTTGATATATCACAGTCTGAAATGCCCTATGAGTTTGGACTATAGACTATATTTTAAAACATCAACTGTCTGTCTACACCTTGCTTTCTCACCTCTCAATCGCTCCCAATGCTACTTTTTTCCCCGGCAAAACTTATCATTGTTTCCCAGGTTCTTGTCGACCTTATGAATTCAGATTTAGACCAACCAAAATTGATTATTTTATTCTCTTTTGCACAACCGTGCATTACAGAAACAGCCATTAATTTCTATTTCCAAATATGCTGTGGCCTATATAGTAGTATATACAGACTTATATAAGTCTGCTGAACAGTCAAGAATAGTCATTAAATTAATCATAAACATTTCATGCAAGCCAGAAAATATCGTTGTTTGTGACATATTATTCTAGGTCTAGCCTTCCTTGGAGTTACCGCACTGTACCTATTTAACAACGTCTTATGAACTAGTGCTCAACTAAAATTGCTATTTATGGTAAGGATATACAAGTGTTTAATATCTTACTTATACTTTTCAACGCCTCCTTAGAATAACTGAACTAATAATAACTGAAAAAAACTATGGAAAGGCTACCCAACTCAACGCAAAAGCGAGCAGTAGTACATCTGATATTCATCCGACCACAGGGGATCCACCTACAGCTGACTAATGTAATTGTTACGTCATGCAGAAGTCTGCGTTCATTGGCCCATGATACCGGAAAAGCAGAGAAAATAGGACAGTAAGCACTATTTGTCACTAAATTTCTAAGGAACATTTTAAAATCATTTTCAGGTAGTTACCTTATGTGCGCTACGAAACTGAAAGATAAATGGCCTCGGCTCGCGGCCTAAATGCTTACTTGGAAGGAGTCGTTGGAAATTTAAATATAAGAATTTGGGAAGCCTTCAATAAGATGGATAGGGTGAAAACACTCCTAAATGAATCATGCTGGGTCTAGGGCTGTAATTTGTAATCGAATATCTTTGCTTCAATATGGTTTGCAACTGATATTTTCAGAATCTGAAATATTACTAATTTTCATGTTATACAAGTTGGATGCCCGATCGATGCACGTTTGTGTTTTTACCTTTTTTTGTGTGTAAACTGGCATTCGTATTCCACATTTGAACCTTTTCAGAGAATTTTTCCTATCTTCTTCATTGTTCCCCTTCATTTTCTTTTTTGTATATTTCCCTTTTTACTGAGCAATTGATTTTATTTTCTCGCTCTTTCCACTTCCGACCTCATCATGTCTCGATGATTGTCTGTGCGTGCCCTAATTATTGGACACGAAGTGGACATAACGATCGTTTCAATATTATGTTGTTGTTGTTCTTTGACACGTTTTTAAAAAGTCGCTTTTCTCTTCGAATACTGGACCAATTGCTTTGAAATTTTCAGTGGTTAAAGATTAATTTTTTCGCTAGAAGGCTATTACTTTTATTTATTTCAAAATTTTGCGTGAATTCTATGAAATTTGATATTTCGTCTAAAATTTTGCTGTATTATTTTTTATCCATGGGAACACGGATCTTAGTCAGTGTCATGACTGGCTGTACGTTTTAATTCTGCGAAATTCTTGCTACTGAAAATTCAGAACTTTTTTGAGGGTACCTGTAGCGTCAAAGGTACCGGTAAGGACTGATTCGCTCTGGTCTAACGTGTCCATATATTTGTGCGTAGCTCTCTTGTTTTTAATACTTTTGGGTAGAGAACACGTACTACTTCTTTTATCAATACCCACCTAAAATCTGTACGCTTCAAACCTCACTTGAGGTTTCGTTTGCTTTCCTGATTCTATGATTATTTTATCGTCTATTGCTGATTATGGAGTCGAAATAAACTTATGCCCAGGAAATAAAGAAGTTATCAAACACCAATGAATCATGGACTGAACCAAACTTTTAGCTTGACATTAAATTTATGACTCAGTAAAATAATATATACCAAGGTATTTGCTGTGGTACACATACTACGTGCGTACCTTTTTATGAATGCTGTGTATCGAGAAAAACTGTTACTTTTAGACAAATAATAAAAGAATCCACAAAGTCAGATTTTTTTTAAAAAATTCGTATAATTTAGAATTACAAAACATACAATTCTGCGCATCACGATTCTGCATAATATTTCGTATTTCGATGGGAGTAATACGAATTAAATTAAAGTCTTGCTAAAGGGTGAGAATAACAAATAAGCAAGATTCCGAAAATTCTCTTATTTAATTGAATTAGCTACTGGGCTTCTTTGGGTACTCCTGAAGTATGTGAAACAAGATGGCGGACACCGGAATGTATTATGTGTACCAGGTTAGGGTTAGGCCTTAATTTTATTTCAATTTCCCTTAAATTAAGTTCTATTACGAGTTTGGGGACTAGCCAAGTGTAGCCTGTAGTATTTATACCTAAAATTATGGCCTCACCCTAACCTGGTACACATACTATGTTCTGGTGTCTGCCATCTTGGTCCACATACTTCGGGAAAACCAGCTATTGAAATAGAAGAACATAAAAGCCAATGTGCATGAAGAACAACAATTATGCAAGAAATTGACAAGAAAGTCACCAGTTGAAATTAAACATCATACAATATCAGTGTAAAGAATATTTATGTTCAGTTACAAGTATTTTTGGTTGGTCATTTTCGTCTCGCTTACAGAACCTTGGATACTCCCAAAGTATGTAAACCAAGATGGTCGACATCGGAATGTAGTATGTTTACCGGGGTTAGGGTTAGGCCATAATTTCAGGTACAAATACTACAGGAGTCATTTGGCTAGTCCCAAAACTCGTAATAGAACTAAAATAAGGAAAATTGGAATAAATTATGGCCTCACCCTAACCTAGTACACATACTATGTTCCGGTGTCCGCAATTTTGGTTCACATACTCTGGACGTACCAGCTATTGAAAAAGAAAAACACAAAAAGCAACGATTATGCAAGAAATTTGAAAAGGTAATCACCAGTTTAATTTAAACATCATACAATATCAGTGTAAAGAATATTTACGCTCAGTTACAACTAACATGGAAAAACTAAGACCAGTTGGCCAAATCCGGCCCATTGGGCAATTCAATCTGGCCTGCTTGGCACAAACTTTTTCTTTTGTAGCGTTGTAAATATTGTTCACAAAGGGTAACTTTCCACAGCACACTTACATGACCCGCCAGTCTACGTTGGCAATGTGGTCTAGAAACCTTGCCTACTATTTGAGTTACAAGTATTTGTAGTTGGGCATCTTCAACTCACGTACAGGGCCTTGGTAGCTCCCCAAGTATGTGCATCAAGATGGCGCACAACCTGAACATAGTATGTATACCAGGTTTGACTTCAGGTTGTGCGCCATCTTGGTGCACATACTTCGGGTGCACCAGGCCTTGTGGAGAATGGAAGACACGTAAAAGTGTCACCTAAAAATAACTTGACTAATTCACTGATTTGTAACTTTTGATCAAACTGTTGGGTAAAATTGCAAGTCTGTTTCCCAGCCAGGACACGGCTGGTTGGTTCAAGCTAGGCGTTAAGTGTGTGCTCATTGGCTAACAATTTAAAAATGAGAGTGGCTTCACATCACAGCATTTCTGATTGGCTGACAATTGAATCAGATGAGATATTTTTTGATTCATATGTAATAATTGAGGAGAACTCATTGGCTGATCATATAAAAATGGGAGTGGCTTCATTCCAAACTGCCTTCCGATTGGTGCATTTAAATTTTAAGCCTTTCCATTGGCTGATGAATCCAAAATATGATAGAATTAGCTTTATGATTGGTTCAAATTTCACAAAGGTCGGGGTTTATGTAAAGCAATAACATCTGCGTCCAATATGGGGTCGTGGTTACCCTTCACCGTCGACCATTCGCAAGACCGGCCGACCCCATTCTATGGATAAGTTTTATGTGTTATTGTAAATCCCACTATGGCCGTCAAGTTGCGTCAGCACTATAAGTACTTGTCTGAAATAGAAAAATTTAGTTATTTTTTCGAAAAAATTATTAAAAGGAGAGAAAACAAACATTGGGAAAGCAGTCGCAAAACACAAAAGCAGTCAAGTTCAAACAAGAACGAATAAGAGGGCACACCTTACGACTCTGATCTTACATAGCTTCCCTCTTCTCTGACGTAATAACCAAAGATCTAATCTTAAAAATTAAAATCTCATCACACCCTGCAAAAAAGGAAGGATCACTTACTTGTGTAAAGGGGGAACACTGTCACTTGTTTTATTAACTCCTCTCGTAGATACCACGTTCCTTGAATCCATGCAATCACAAACAATTTGCATATGTCGGGTTGGATGTCGATTCTCCGCTACTACGACTAAACCAGCCCATCCACGGGTTAAATAATAACATGTCGCACAGTCCCGTACCTGGAGAAATAAAAGATTTATCATTGTTTTAACGAGGAAAGGAAATTTACAACCGGCCCAAAGTTGGAACGATTTTTGGCACAGACTTGGAAAAATTATCAACTCCCGACTCCAAGTCCATCAAGGGGATAATTATGTGTAAGAGTATCGCTCGACTCCTCGCCTGGTTCACGTAATCGCTGGTCGTTTACGGTTTCCTCCACCATCAAGTCCATGCATCTGGACTTGCGAACCCAAAGCCATGACACATTTTTTTTGTAAAAAGCGAGGAAAGTTTCTCTTTGTATTGACATTGCAACAAAAAAATTATTATATAGGGTCATAAAGTCTTGAAATTTTTAAAATTGCAAAGGGAATTTATCGATACCATATATTGTTTTGGCTTTCACAGATGTATTAAATGAAGTAAAAATACTTGAACGATTACTGATTAAAAAACAACAAATTTGGTTAAGATATATTGAGAACTGACTTCACATAACAAAATTGAAATTGTAAAGAGACTTTATGGACTCTGTATATTCTCATTTAATCCATGCAATATATGAGTTGCTTTGTGTATATACATATGATCAAAACCCCATTAAATTTCCAATGTATACAGCCAATATCTCTGCTCTCGATAGTAATTTTTGAACAATATTGATCATCTTATGTTTTAAACATGGACAAACTAGTCTTTTATTATGTCATAAAAACACTTACATCTTTTTTTTCTCCTTTTTTCATCACAAGCTCAATCGTTGCGTCAGCAAAAAGTGTTGGATTAGCAGGAAAATGACTCAGTGAAATCGGACGACTAGTATGTAGCGCTAACACGAATTTTGGATGTTCTGGATCCCTCAATGCTGCTGCTGCAGCTGCAGCACCTGGTAAATTGAATTATAATTTTCGTGTTAATTAAGAAACAAAATTAGGATGAACAGAATACAATTGTTTACAGTGGTATTAACCCAACTTACCGTATTTTCTCGTCTATACGCCTATCACGCGGATAAGCCAACTCCCTAATAATAGCTTCAAAATAGTGAATTTATAAAAATTCGCTTATACGCCGTTTCCACAAATCGTAACACGGCGCACGCATCTATTACAGTCAATGATGTTCAATTCAAATTTAATATTCAAATATCGCGATTCGCTACCTTCTTGTATATGGCACACACATTCTAGCGCAGCTGTCCACATTTTGATTAAAACAATTTTCGATTATTATATTTTCTGTTTTATCGTAATGGAAGACAGCACTTTGCGGCACAACTAAATTACTGCCAACTACTAGTATGTAGCGCTAACACGAATTTTGGATGTTCTGGATCCCTCAATGCTGCTGCTGCGGCTGCAGCACCTGGTAAATTGAATTATAATTTTCGAGTTAAGAAACAAAACTTAGGATGAACAGAATACAATTGTTTACAGGGGTATTAGCCTAACTTATGTGTCCCAGCAGAAGAAAAACAAATTCCCAACATATCTAACCCAGAAATTTTAAACAGAGCCCTCCGTTTTCCTCGAGGGCCAAAGGGTGATTTGGATCCCTGAGCAAAACTGCTAGGGTGCCATTCATGAAGATAACATAAATGGTTTTTGTGATGTGGTGGTTTTTACTTATCGATCTTAAGATCGGTAAGTATATTGATAGGTATTTGTCTGTATGTCTGTCTGTCTGTGTGTCTGTGTGTGTGTCTGTTAGATGCATGCGATATCTCACGAAAGCGAGATTGAATCTGCTCCAGATTTTGCATGTGCATTCATCTTATCTCGGACCAGAAGCCTATTGATTTTGGGCGAATTATGTTGTATAATTAGCGAGTTATCAATCAATTATTGATATAGTGATCTAGATTTTTGTAAAGCGAGAGAATTTTGAAACCCGCCGAGTGTGTGTGTGCGATGCGCAGTGCGCAAGTTACAAGAGCGGATGAATCGAAACTGCAGTTTCTGTTTTGGGGGATCCCCTAACTATCGATCGATAAGTCTTCGGTTTCCAACCGATATTCTCGTTTAATTGTTTGACTGTAATGTAGTTATTACTTATCAATTTCGATCGGTGAGTTGATAGTTATTTGTCCGTTTGTTTGTTTGTTTGTCTGTTAGACGCTTTCGCATATTACGCGCTATCTCACGAAAGCGAGGTTGAAACTGCTCCAAATTTTGCATGTGCATTCATTATATCTCGGACCAGAAGCCTATTGATTTTGGTTGAATTACGACGTATAATTACCGAGTTATTAATTAATTAGTGATGAGACACGTGGTATCACTATTGAGTCAGAGCGAAGGAATCCAAACCGCAGTTTCTGTTTTTGAGGAATCCCCTAACTTTCGTTGCTGCAAATGATTGTGTGCGTAACGATGCTCTGTCTGCAATGTGAAACGTTCAGGTATTTCGGTTACACGCCGCTTCGACTTTGTGGGACTGGTGATGACCGGTGGTATTGCCCCAAATTTTCGAGTAAAATATTGAACATGCAGAAGATCGATAAGTCGACACGCTTCGATTTCTGTCTAGTTCCTTTATCTTCGCTTGTCGGCTTTCTATTATTCTTATTCAAACAGGACGAATAAAATATAACGGAAAGATTAGAAACCGAACCGTTTTTTTTTTTGAGCAGGGGGCGATGGAGTTTGGAGGTGTCGGTTTGAGAATTACTGGTCTAAACGAACCCACAATATCTCACCCGTAATCCCATATGCCGATCTCCAATGATTAAAACCAAGAGTTACAATTTGATAGATGCCAGGTTCCAAGAATTGGGAACAGGAACCGTGCCTTTTAACCTGGAAAAGGAAGTGAAAAATGTTAGATAGCGGAGTTCGAAGTGTCAGGTCTGTTTTTTTCCAGGCAGTGACGACTAGAATGTGGAGCTCGGGAAAAATTGGCATTGCTGCAGCGGAGTGGCTCTTGTGTTGAGCATTAGAAATACGCTTGCAACCACACTCCTGATTACTCTGCGCGGGTTTGCAGGTTCGCAGGGAAGAGTTATGTGCAAGAGCATTGCTGAACTCCTCGCCGCCGTAGGGTGGTTCACATAACCGCTGGTCGGTTACGACTTCCTCCACCATCGAGTTCATGCTTCCGGAAACAAATACCTAGCTAACTAATCCCATAGAATGGTAACCGAACGTGAGAACGTGGTTTAGACCCAAATTTGAAAGCAACCACGGGTCTAACTTTGAGACATCAAATTTTTGGCTCCAAAAACTTTGGCTATGCTAGACTTTATCCATTGTCTGTTCAGGATTCAAGTGATTTATGGGGCTTTTTGAGTTTCTGAATGAGGAAGAAATTTTCATTAAATTCTTAGGATAGGATAGGATTCACATATTTATCCCGAGGAAGGGAGAAAAGTCGGTAAGACAGCTTAACCACTAGGACTGAGTCATTCGAATCGATTATTCAAATCGGTTCAGAGGAAACTTTCGAATTGCTGCCATCCTTTTTTTTTTTTCTAGCAATGGTTGATGCAAATTTCTCAATTTTTTTTATTGAAGTCATATTTTTTCAACGCAATTCTGACATATGACTCTTTTTTTTTCTGTAGTGAGTTATTGCTGGAAACGTGTTTTTTATTGTGCGTGAACGAACGCTCAGAAATCTGCCTGAGTGATGTATTTTACGTTTTCAGCAATTTATGTGTCTGGAGGACCTAATACAATGAGAAAGTTACGTACAATTTTATATCTCCCAAGTATTCAAGATTCGATTCGAAAAAAATATTCGATTTGATTCTGAAATCATCAAGAATTCGAAAATGTCCAGCCTTACGAACCACGACCTCTCGTCCGATTACCAGTCCATGTCTTGTATGGGATCAGTTGAACAGTTATTTGTTTTCGAAAGCCGTAATCGACCAGCGATTACGTGAACCTACGAGCCATCGAAAGGAATCAAAATCGCCGACAAGCTTACCTGTCTTCGACTGCAAGCCACTAGAGGTCCCAACACGACTTCAGAATGTGGATCGGAGGTCGCAGCTTGCTCGCTACTTCTGAACACACAGACGCAGATATCCACTGGATGGCGCCCTGAAGTTTCTTGACTCCTGAAAAATAGATGCTCGTTAGCAAGGTCAGATCAAGGTCAATTTTGTGATGCTGGAAAGACTACAACACATCACATATTTGGTAATTTATTTTCACAAAATTGTTTTTCAAAAACAAATATGGGCAGAAAAACTGGACATCACTATATTTTATTCTCCAGAAGTTGGTTCTCTATAAAGGAGTGTTATCAGCTACATTATTCAATGCCATTCCGTGAGGAATCTGGAAGGTGATCAACACACATATATAATTTTTCTCAGCCTATTGTATTTCCTGCCATTCGCATTTGCTGACAGATTCAAATATTTATTTTGGTCATGCAAGAACAATGCGAGATATGAAATAATAAATAAATAAAATACAAGTTACAAATTACACAAAACGGATATCGAGTATTTGCAGTTGGTCTGACGTCTAGTCAGCAACACCTTGCATTGAATTGAAAAAGCAAATATAAGAACGGAACAACTCGATGGTACACATTTACTTAATTGAGCGCAGTCATAAAAGAAATTTACGAGTGTGTGCACCAAAATAACATCTTTTTTTTTGTCTAGTTAAATAGTAAAATAATTCGACATACGAACGAACCTTGACCCCTGTTGGAATATTGACAAATCAATTTCCGTCGATTGATATACTTCAAGAAAGTACGAAGCGGGGGGTTGGGAGGCAGAATCAGGGAATTCCCCTGATATTCTTGTCTCCGCCCAGTTTGTGTCTCTGATCTTACAAATATCAACGCTGTCGAAATATCTAAAAATGTAAATTAGGAAATAAAGTTTGAGAAATAGCACATGTAAGAAAATCTCAGAGATTTTTAATTTTTATCGAACTGTTTTTCAAGTTTTCTTACAAGAAGTGTTTTTATGCACTTTCTGGACATGTTTTTATTTGCATATCGGACTTGTATCCATCAGATAATTTGTGCGTTACATTTAACAATAAAAAGTCAAAAATCTAAAGCAAAAAACTGAATGAACTCATATTAGTCAAAAAATTAAAGAAATTATAGTCAAGTTAATATAAATTAATGTTGCCATCATGAATTGTACATATTAAAAGCATTTGCTTGCAGACCACTTGGGGATAATTATGAGCAAGAAGTTTGCTGGACTCTTCAGTGTGGGAGGGTGATTCATGTAACAGCTGGTCGGTTACGGCTTCGCTCACCATCAAGTCCATGCTTTCGAAAACAAATAACTGGCTAACTAATCCCATACCCGACCTGGACTGGTATCCGGACGAGAGGCCTTGGTTCGTCATCCCATCAGCTTTCCTCTCCCCTGGGATAAATATGAAACTCTCGTTCCCCAGAGAACTGCTCTGTGGCTACACAATGGCTGAAGGCCTAGTCCGGGAAAGCCAGACGTATACTGGCCTTAGAATCATATCGAAGCCAGCAGTCACTAACGCAACGGTCTGCATATTGTGTGCCATGTCCAAATCGAGAGCCCTCGATCAGTCTGGCACTGTGATTGTTTTTGAAGCTGTGAATATGACGAGTGCAGGGTTTGAACCCAAGACCCTTTACTTACCTTAACATATCATCAAAACAAAGCCAGAATATCCCATGATATGATTGTGTTGGATTCAGTCGTTCCTGTAACCTTGGGTTATCGTACCACATCTCTGAGTTATCTGACCAATCACCGGACCAGGATTGTTGGGCCCATGGATTGCGTAGTTGCAGAAGTCTAGAAAGGTAAAATATAGAGAATTAGCTATGTAATTCAATAGTCCTGTTGCACACTAACACTAATATACAGGGCTAACAGTTGAGGTTGCGTGAACTTAACTACCTTTCCTTGCTCTCTATGCCTTTGCGCAGGTGGATCCGTATGCGTATTACGCAAGGATGCTGTAGCAGGAGTGTAAATGGCTATTCTATTCAATTCAAGAGTCTTGCTGCACACGAACACAAATATATTTCTGTAACGTTTCGTCTGACCGAGGTCAGACTTCTTCAAGCATTTTACAACTATAACAAGAAACGCAATGCATGCACATAAATATTGTCCATAAAGTGTCCATAAAGTTCCTTTACAATTTCTATTTTGTTATGAAGTCAGTTCTCAATATATCTTAACCGGGTTTGTAGTATTTTATTCATTAATTGTTTAGTATTTTTACTTCATTTAATACATATGAGAGGGCCAATACAATGTATGGTATCGATAAATTTAAAACATTTTTACGACTTTATAGACACCCTATATTTATAGTCTGTATGTGCAGCAAAACTCTGAAATTAAATAAAATAGTTATCATCATTTGCGTTACACTTTGCGTAATATACAAACAAATCACTAGTGCAGGGGGAATTACGGCCCATGAGCCAATCCGGCCCACTAGATCGGTGTTTTATCCGGCCCATTTGTGTGTGCTGAAATCACGACTATAGTTTTTATGGATATAAAAATCTACTTACTTGACATTTCCACCGTTATCCATACGCTCATTCCTGACATCCAAAACGCTGTACGCATGTCGGACTCGAAGATCGACTCTGTCGTACATATCCTCGTCCACTTCCATATTTGCTCCGCCACACGAGGCGCCCATGAGAAACCCAGCCTCCTTCGAACTCAAAAGACGAACCCAGATTAAATCTGGCTCTGGTTCAATCATGTCTGGCCCGACTGTAAAAAAGGAAAATTTAAAATAAGTAAATTGATTTTGAAATAAAGCAGGATTTGAGAATTTGTCCTACTAGAGCAGGGGTTCCCAAACCAAAGGTCGCGACCCCAAATTGGGTCGAAGTGATAATTAGGTAGGGTCGCAAACAGGTCATGGGGTCGGTGGGGTCGCTGAGGTATGTCAGAGGATGGATGTACAAAAAACATCTAAGATTTGACAAACCATGTTAAATTTAGCAGTTTGTACCATGGCTTACTGTTAAACAGTCCCATATGCATCGCTATATGCTTATGTGTAAAATGTAGGTATTTATTGTGACATCACTGTTGGGTTTTAGCTTATTTTACTTAATACCACCACATGACCAAACTCAAACGTCCAGTAAAATAAGCTCTAAAGTTTTATGAGAAATATATATCGACCTGGGGTCGCACTGGACACTTGAAAGATGTATTTGGGGTCGTCCTAAAAAAAGCTTGGGAACCCCTGTGCTAGAGAGAAACACTAATTAGATATCACAGACTACAACCTCTAGGATTAGTTAACCAGTTGATTGTTTCCAATATAAATTGGCGTAGGGTAATCAGAGGTTAAATGGCGAGTCCTTACGCTTGAAACGATTAGCCTACGCGAATTTATATTGGAAACAATTTACTGGTTAATTGATCCTAATATCCAACATAAGCTAAGACGACTAGGGGATTCAGCGCTTCAGAGGTATGTACACCAAGATGGCGCACAACCTGAACCCTAACCTGGTACAACTACTATGTTCAGGTTGTGCGCCATCTTGGTGTACATACTTTTGGAGCTCCGAAGATTCTGGTCTTTCCAAACAAGGATCAGGAATTTTCGAAGGAAGAGTTCTGAAATTTCTAATTGCCCAGGTAGGAATACGTGGGGTTCCAAGAGTCTTGACTCTTTTTACATTTCAAAAAGGGGGAGGAGGGGGGGGGGGGGTCGAACGATTCCAAATAATAATAGCTCATTGAGAAAGACCCTTGTACAGAGTAAAAGGATTAAACATGTCATATAAAAACAAGATTTTATATTCCCACTTACCGACTAACTGTAGACTTTCACAAGGAGCTCCAGTCAAGGTTGCAAGTCCTTCAATTGATCTTCCTGCTTGTAGGGCCTCGTAGCATCCATGGACTTTAGCAAGTGCTTTCTCAATTAGAGGAACCCAGAGCTGTTTTCTTCTAGCCTGGTAACGTAATGAAGATAAGACAAAATTAGCTGTATTTTAAAAAGATATGAGAATGTCAAGCATTTTCTTGTATATATCAAACTTTTGTATCAAAATAAAAATAAGACAAAATTAGCTGTATTTCAGGTGCTCCCGTAGTATGCGTACCAAGATGGTGCACAACCTGCTAACCCTAACCTGGTACACATACTATGTCCAGGTTGTGCGCCATCTTGGTACGAATACTATGGGAGCACCGTTTTTTTATATAATTGCTGGTGCTGCATTGTGCTATACGCTAGGAATACACTTGTCTTCGCACCTCTGACAGATTCGAACCCCAAGGGACAGTGGGTGTTGTGCTAAGTGCAGCCCGAAAATTAACAGAATTGTGTTAACATAACTAATATATGATTGAATAATTCACATATTGTATTTATAATAAATGTTTTATTGTTTCCTATTTTAAATGTTTAGTATATGTATAAATAAATACATTTTACCTCTCTATGTCGTTTATTTTCTGTTATGATCACAAATTAAATTTTATTTTTTTTGAACAGTATTTTTTTTTGTGTAAGTGCGCTGTGAGTTTTTCCCTGATAATTTGAACCCGCATAAACAAAAAGGTTGGGAACCGCTGCCATGGGGAATGCCCCCCCCCCCTTGGAATGTAAAAATAAGGGGCTCCCGAAGTATGCGAAACCAAGATGGTGGACATCGTAATGTAACATGTGTACTAGGTTAGGGTTAGGCCATAATTTTAGGTATAAATACTACAGGAGGCTCTTGGCTAGTCTTCGAACTGATAATAGGACTAAAATAAGGAAAATTGGTAAAAAATTATCGCCTAACCCTAACCTGTTACCCATGTTACGTTCCGATGTCCGCCATCTTGTTTCGCATACTTCGGGAGTACCAAAAATAAAACATTCATCTGTATCATACATAACAAAGTATCGTAGCTTGAAAAGCAGATCCCGAGATTCTCGAGAACCCATGATTTTATAGTCGAGGCGTAACAGAATATCAGCGATCGATACTTATATTATGTTGAGATAGGTAAGGGGCCGAACCCCAATAACTCTTGAAATCCCACATTCCGACTAGCTGTTATGGTCTAACTTGGCAACTGGACATTTCCGACCCTCTTGGCTACCCCCCTAAATAAGCATCATTTAAAAGCGCAAAGACTCTATGTTCACTAACCTGTGTATAAAGCAGCTCTCCATGCATGTTACATGGCAATAAATCATCAATAAAAAGAGATTGCCAGATGCCATCCTTGCATAATCTAATCATATAGGCTCCATATTTACTGTATTCCCGTGTAATGAAAATATTTCGGAGCAAGTCTGGTCGTTCTACCAAAACAGATAATCCGCTCAGAAACCTGGTGAATTTAAAAAACATTAGGTTAAGCAATAAAGAAAACATGATAAATAAGAAAATGCAATCTATAGGTTAGTTACAGCTAATTTCAGGAGAATGTTCTTTAGAGCATGGGCTTCCCAAACTTTTAAGCTTGTGACCCTTTCCAATATATTAAAAATCCCCCCCCCCTCCCCACCCCAGTTAGGTAGGCATTGTTATGCAAGTGCGCTGCTTCCGTGATCCCATGAATACTCTCGAAAGCACGGGATTTATGTTTTGCAATAGTTCAAATAATTTTTTTTTACATCAAAAGTCTCAAAAAGTACAATTTGGGTCCCACACAATAGGTTGGAAACCACTGGCCTAATGCCTCCTCCATTACTTTTTAAAATACTGAATCGGCTAATTTTGTAACTGTCCAAATAAGCAATAAATACATCAGATTCGTTAAATAAAGTAATTTTAATTTAATCAAGAACATTAATCGATATGTCAAAATGTGTTTTTTTGTTGGTTTTCATTTCCATAAATTTATTATGGATCTCACACGAGCGCCGTAACACCAAACGTTTTAGAACCCCTCGCCTAGATTTAGATTTACATATTTATTCTGGTATCAATTATTGGTATCAAACCGATAAGACGGCGAACCACGGCCTCTCGTCCGGTTACCATTCCATGTCGGGTATGGGATTAGTTTGTAAGTTATTTGCTTTCAGATGCATGCACTTGATCAAGTAGTAAACTAGAATCTCGGTTAGAAACCGAAGACTTATCGATCGAAGGTTAGGGGATCCCCCAAAACAGTGGTCTTACTCCATAGTGACACCGTGTGTCCCATCACTAATTAATTAATAACCCGCTAATTATAAGACATAATCCATCCAAAATCAATAGGCTTCTGATCCGAGCTATGATGAATGCACATGCAAAATTTGGAGCAGATTCAACCTCGCTTTCGTGAGATATCGCGTGCATCTAACACACAGACATACAGACAGACAAATACCTATCAACATACTTACCGATCTTAAGATCGTTAAGTAATAAATGTGTTTACCAGCAGTTCCCTAGAATTCCTTGTTGAATGTCTGTTGTTTCGGGACCTTCAGTGCAGAACACGGTCCATTGCCTATGCTCATATTGTGGGTCTCTGCAATTGATCTGGAAAGAAGTTTTTAGAATAAGAAACTGATAAAAAAATAATATATCTATTAGTTGAGTTGAGTTGAGTTGCTGTACCTGTTCTAATAATATTGTATAGAATATATATGGCGAACCACGGCCTCTCGTCCGATTACCAGTCCATGTCGGGTATGGAATTAGTTAGCCAGTTATTTGTTTTTGGAAGCATGGACTTGATGGTGGAGGAAGCCATACCTATCCAGCGTTTACGAACTCTGACCCATAATTATCAACACTGAATTCGAAACCTGCAAACCCATGCAGAGTAATCAGATGTGCGATGGCAAGCGTATTCCTAAAGCATAGCACTATCTGCCAGACCACCAAGCTTTCAGTTAAGAGGCTCGAAATTGGGGGAAGGTTAGGAACATGCGGCCATCGCACCTTTAATCATGTAACTGCTGGTTGATTATGGGTTCCTCCAAGAGGAACTTAGCCAAAAATTTTAAAAGGGTTAAGTCCCTCTTGGAGGGAGCCATAACCAACAAGCAGTTACATGATTAGAGGTGCAATGGTCATGGCTTCCTCCAAGAGGGACTTAACCCTTTTAAAATTTTTGGCTAAGTTCCTCTTGGAGGAAGCCATAACCAACCAGCAGTTACATGATTAGAGGTGCAATGGTCACGGCTTCCTTCAAGAGGGACTTAACCCTTTTAAAATTTTTGGCTAAGTTCCTCTTGGAGGAAGTCATAATCAACCAGCAGTTACATGATTAGAGGTGCAATGGTCACGGCTTGCTCTAAGAGAGGACTTAGCCAAAAATTTCAAAAGGGTTTAAAATTTCTTATTGTCAAGTTAGACCGTAACAGCTAGCAGGTACGACCGAAGGCCGGTAAACGTGGGTTACAAGAGTCTTGGGGTCTAAAAAGCGTTTTTTAAGCTACGAAATATTGCTATTTATGATACGGAAAAATTCTTTTTTTTTACATTTTAAGAGGGGGGAGGGGTTCTGACCCCCTGGCTACGCCCCTGTCCTCCACCGCCAAGTCCATGCATCTGAAACAAATCACTTGATACCTAATCCCACTCTATCCCATGATTTTGGCCATTTTATTGCCTTTCCTCCTTAATATAAATAAAAAAAACTATCCAGCATTATTTTACCTGATGTGGTCTCAACCAGACAGCTTGGTGATTGTACTGACTGTTGGGATAATGAAGTATTTCATGGCTCGGTCTGAACTGGTCGTCCACAAATTTGTCATCAGCCTGAAAATATGGAGAAAAAAATTAAAAAGGGCCTAGAGCAGACATGAGCAAAGTACGGCCCGTGGGCCAAATCTGGCCCATTGGGCAATTCAATCTGGCCCGCCTGATGCTGCCACAACCGGACCGAAATCAAATTTTGATGTTTTAGCTAAAAATACCTCAAGGAATTTGTTGAGATTACGGTTAAATTTAGTTTTGGCATGAGGTCTATTGTTTTCTATGGTTGCATTTGTAACACTGTAAATATTGTTCATAAAATGTAACTTTCTGCGTCACACTTACATGGTCCGCCAGTCTAGGTGTGCAATATTTTTTGCCCCTGGTTCATAAACCCTGCCCACTCCTGAGCTAAAGTCACAAGTCGAGACGCTGACTTGAGTCCTCAAAAAACTAGTTGCCAGAAATACACTTAACATTTGAAGATTTTTAAAAAAAGGATTTTCACTGTGGATGGTTATAGTACATAGCCTTGTTCCCAAGTATTAAAGCAATCCTTAGTAAAACAAATATCGCGATCAGGTATGTACGAGAGTAATTGAATATTTGAATTCATTGCTGCTGGCTTTCAAAACGCTTGTTTACAACATTATACTGTGACTGAATTCGAGCCTGAAATGTCAATCATTACGATCGGGTCGGGTTGGCTTCTCTATCGCTGACTTTCTTTTTAAATAATAATAGGTTTATAAAAAATATATAGGCTACTAAAACTATGTGTGGAATTCGAAGATATCATAAATAAAATATGAAATTTTCTGGTTTGCTTCGGGCTTGGGCCTGCAATCCAGTTAATTAGTCGGGGTCTGGTCGGGTTTAATACTCATGGACCCGGGTCGGGCCAGAATTTTTGGGCTCAATCTTACCTCTACTTTATGCCCTACTCATATTGTGATTGCTTGCTTTAATTCGTTGTGTACATGGAAATACATTAAAACCTTTAACCCAGTGGTTCTCAAACGATGAGGTGCGCCCCATAAGAGGGACATAAACAATTTTTGTGGGGGAAACAAAATAATTGTTAGATTTGATCTTAGCCGCCTTATTTTAGTATTTACATTTTTTTGTTTTGGATATTTACGTTCTATCCAAGTATTTCCACCTTACGTCTTACTATCTGTTATTTGTAGCCTAATGTTAGCTAGTTATTTTTGAGGTGGGGCTCGAGACTTGAGAAATTCTAAAAGGCAGCACGGCTCAAAAAGTTTGAGAACCATTGGAACCAACAATAACCCAAACCTATCTTCTTACCATTCTACAGTATTCAATGATTCCTTCAAATATTTTATTAGCATCATTTTCTTGCTTTAATCTCAATTGTTCCATCATAATACTCTCAACTTTAAATGTTGTATTCAAGTCCGTACTTTCTAAAGATGATGTCTGTTATAATATATAAAAATGTTAGCAAAATGGTGGGCGCTCCAGAAGTATGTGTACCAATATGGAGGTAACTAATTTTGTTCGCCTACTTTACATCAAGTTGTGTAAAGGGACTGAAACCTATGGGCAGAAGTTATATTCACTTGGCTAACACAGACAGTCCCCAAACTCGAAATAGAACTAAAATAAGGAAAATCGGAATAAAATTATGGCTTAACCCTAACCTGGTACACATACTACCGGAGTACCCTGAAGTCTATTCTAAAATCTAATAATTCCAACATTTCTACTCGTACTACAACCATTCATTAACACCTTGAGACCTTGCTTATAGCAAACCTGATTAACAAGAGTAACACACCATAAGTAGGCCCCTCTCTCTCCCCAAATGCTATGTTAGCAAACTTTAAGCCAACTAATGTATACAACAGTATCCAATACTCCTTATTTAACTGTTTTAATAATAATCCCCTATTTTACAAAAGTGTTGCAACTTAATAAATTAATCAGCTTAGTATCCCAGATATAGTGGATTAGACTCTTACTTGATAAGGAGATTAAAAGGTTCTAATAATATGATGAAGTGTGCTTTGTAAACTAGGATTTAAGATTAAAGAGAGAGAGAGAGAGAGGAGTGCGAAAGAGTTTGATTTTTATGGTATCGGTTTTTGTATCGATATCAACTAAATGTAGACGAATAAATTTAGTTATTAATCTGATCCAGAATGTTTTGAAATATGAGTTAGAAAATAAATGGTAAAATTTAATTTTTGTGTACAGGGGATGATATTCGTGGTATTTGCCTCGCCCCCATCCCCGCGAGTAGATTCTGACCTTTATCTGCCTCCACTGATATACACCGAGATTCGAACCCTGGACCTCATACTCACCGATAATGTTGATATCCTTTCTCTTAAACTCATTCTTGTTGATGGTAGCCCGCTAGTAGAAGGTGCCTGTGACAGGGATTGAACCTGGGGCCTGCTCCTTGGCTTGGGTTCTCTCTCAAGTTTTGTTAGAAGCGCTGTAAAGAATATATCAGTACATCAGTGCTTCCGAAAACAAGTAACTGGCTAACTAATCCCATACCCGACCTAAACCGGACGAGAGGCCGTGGTCTGCCATATGATGATGCCGTCTTATCGGCTTTCCTCTCCCCCTGGATAAATATGTAAATCCTATCCCATATGCATAAGAAGAAATCTATTGATAAATATATGATAATCCAAGTTCAATGTACCGTATATTCTCACATATAAGCCAAGTTCAAAAAGTCAAAAATAAATTGCCAAACTAAGGGCATCGGCTTAAACGCGCTTAACTTTGATCGCACAAAGGGTTTGACAGTGATGGTAAAGATGAATTTGAAGGATTTTGAAAGACTTACCGTTATTAATAACAGTAAACATAACAATAATGGTTATCATTTTCATGAACACTCTTCTGCAACAATATTCTGTGATAGGTGCGTACGGCGTGTTACGATTTGTCGGCTCATATGCGAATTTTTATAAACTCACCCGTTTTGGGCGGTCGCCTTAAATGCAAGGATATATGGTATAACATAGACATGAGGAATCTATTGTTACACATATAAAAAGGTTGATTAGGAAAACTGATTAAGATGATGAACATATTGATATCAAATCATTGATAAGGTGATAATTTAGTATATACAATAGGTTATGTTATGTCTCAATTTTATGATAAGATTACTGATATGCTGCTTAGATAGAATAATATGATAAGAGAACTGATTATATAAGCATTTGATATAGAAAGTTACTGATAAAACGTTATTTATATAATATTAGATATTTTGTTTTTATGTTAATTATATGATAAAGATTTCTTCAGATAATAAACAGTGAGATAAGAATATAAGATAGTTTAGATAAGATAAAAAAAACATTTATCAGTCCTTAATCTATCAAAATGGGCAATAATAAAAAAGCTTTGATACTGACTTGGAGGTATTGGTGCCACCATACCATCCGGACGAGGGTTCCCGCAAATTCCACAATATGTCAACCCAGGGTTGTTGGAAGTAGTGCATTGCTGACATGTCCAACTGAAATTGAATTATTATTTATTGAGTTTCACTTATACACTGGTGCGTCACTCACTCTAAAGAAAAGGAGACATCTCCAAGCAAAGTTACAGCTACAGACGACCATATATATAGTTATGATGATGTACTAAGCACATTCACTCAGAAATAAAAGGGACTCATCTCTGAGCTAAGTTACGGGCACTCACTCAGAAGTAAAGGAGACTCATCTCTTAGCAAAGTTACATGCACTCACTCAGAAGTAAAGGGGACTCATCTGTGAGCAAAGTTACGGCGACTCACTCAGAAATAAAGGAGACTCATCTGTGAGCAAAGTTACGGGCACTCACTCAAAAGTAAAGGAGACTCATCTCTTAGCAAAGTTACAGGCACTCACTCAGAAGTAAAGGAGACTCATCTGTGAGCAAAGTTACAGGAACTCACTCAGGAGTAAAGGAGACTCAACTATGAGCAAAGTTACGGGTTATGAGCTGTAAAAAGCACATCAAATTTCTTTTACCCAATTTAACACAGACCTTAAAAAAACACCAATTTCAAATCTTGAAAAAAAATAATGCATACTTACTCATCTACAAATGCTTTTGATTTGACCCTGGCTTCAGTCTGGTGAAGTATTTTATCATTTGGGAATTCTTTTTTCTGACTTGAAGATGGAGGGGGTTCCCCCAGGTAAGGGTGGGGGGTCGCTGTATTTGAAAAAAAAAGATAAGTTAGGACAGAGGAGTTCAGCCTGCAGCCACAAGTAAAAACTGTCCGGCCCCCGAATAAGTGCCAATTTTTGTGCCAACGCATGTCATAAGATTAAATAACCAAAATTGACAGCAACTACTGGAAAGCATATATGTTAAATAAAGGTGTGGACCACGATTTCACCCAGCTATTCGTATCCTATTGAATTAAAGGCACACCCATGAGTTGAGACAAGTTATAACAGAAACCGGACTGCCTAAACCAGGGTGGTCCAAACCCAGGCCCTGCGGGCCGCATCTGGCCCGCCGCTTCATTATCTGTGGCCCGCGTCACATCCGGAGAGTAATCAAAAAATCACATTTCGTGTTGTTTCGTAATAAAAATCTTTTGACATATTGTTACATCACTAATGTCACTGAATTGACTAGTGCTATAGCTAGCTGAGGCAACTAGCGCAGCTTAAATGATGTGCTTGGCAGTCTAAATAAATATCTGTCTATGAAAAAATAAATTTGTGGCCCCCGGGGAGCCTACAACCTTAGACCACCCTGGCCTAGACTATGCTGACACGTTCAAAACATAATTTTTTTAAATATGAGGTATTTAGTCATCTTATAATAATCTTTTTTCTATCCCTGAATAAATATAAAATACCCTCTACATTTGTGCTGTGTTTTGTCCAGAGAGAAAAACACAAAATGCAAAACGGGAGAGTTCTGATGTTCAAATTAACTATGCCAATGTCTCAGGTACAAAACACATACCCAAACGTAATTACTTACTTTGGATACCAAGGTGGCCTTCCATCATGACATATAACACAGTATTGGGCAGTCCTTTCATTATGATACGTGCATTGTGGACATGCCCATTTTATTTCTATTGTTGTGCTACTAATAAGCATATCTCCTGGATCTGGGGGCCCTCCCCGACTTGTCCCTGGAACTGAATTTGATGATCCAGGTTGTGAGGGTAAAATTGAACGTGGTGTTTTTCTTCTAGCGCCACCTGACGGTACACTGCTCGCAGTTGATGAGCTGCTGACTGAAGCAGGAGGTTCTAGAAATGAAAACCTTTTTGTCAATAGAAAATTAGTTTATCCGTTTTTACACCTTCAATAAAAATAGTGCTCTGTGCAATAGAGCTAAGATCTGAAACCCGACCCGAAATTTCGGGTCGGGCATTGATATGTCAATCATCGCGTTCGGGTCGGTTACCCCTATCATTTGCCCCGCATTGTCAAATGAATATGCAGATTATAGAGCTCACAAAATACAAAAGGAAAATGTGTCCAACATTTCCCCCTATACTGTAATAAGCTATTGCAATGTACAATTCAAAGAACCCCTAAATAAAATATGAATTTTGTTTGCTTCGGGCTTGGGTCGGGCCTTCAAATCCAGTTAATTAGTCGGGCTCGGGCCGGGTTTATTACCCACAGGCACGGACAGCAAACACTGATTCAGGGGGCGAAGGGAGATTTATGGGAAGACAAGACTCATGCTAGGTTATCCTTAATAAATTACACACTGGGTGTGGTGCAGTTGGCATGTGGATTTAAACAAAGGCCTTAGACCAGAATGGGTAAGGTTTCTCGGATCAGGGGCGAGTGTTGAAGTAAAAAGTTACATTTTAAGATCATGACCAACCAGTGTGGTGGTGTGTCTTGGGTGTTACTTTGGTTATGTTTACGGGCATTTACTAATTATACGTTTATATTGGGTAAACAATTTCTGACTGAACGATATAAAAAAATACCTCCAATAAGTGCTTGGTGTCTCATTCTGCAGCCAAAGTATAGTTATATACAATCCTATATCTAATATTGCACTTTATATAATAATTTTTTGTGTAGCTTAAATATAGAAATAAGTGTTATAGTAGACAGTATAGACTCAAAGTACCTAAGAACTGTATATTCTCACATACAAGCCAAGTTTAAAAATCGAAAATTTGACAAACTAAAGAGTCTGATTATACGTGCATAACTCAGATCGCACTAAATATTTTGATTATACACGCATATCTCTGATCGCACTGAAGGGTCGGCTTATACTAAGATGAATTTGAAGGATTTTAAGACACTTCTTATCGTTATTAATAAAAGTGAAACATAATAAAAATGGTTATCAATTTATCATTTTCATTAATTCTCTTCTGCAACAATTTTCTGTGATAGGACGTGTTACGATACGTACGGTCGGCTCATATGCGAATTTCCATAAATTAACTGTTTCAGGGCCGTTTTTAGGGGGTCGCCTCATATGTGAGGATATATGGTGCTTGGGCATGATATGTCCCAAAAGATTCACTATCACCCTAAAATACAGTGTGACTCAGTGTACTGTAAAGTGCTTTATTGTGCTAATATTGTGTACAGTGTTTTAATATTATTTTATATGTACAGTAACACATAATTTCATTTCAATCTTCTTTTCCAACATGTATCCTTTCAGTAACACAACATTATGGCACTTGTGCCATGCCTTGACCTTTGCACCCCTCCACCTGTACATGGCAATGAGCTTCCTGTCTGCCGGTACTCTGGTACTAGACTAGCCTTGTGCACTGAACAATCTGCTTTAACTATTAACCTGTAAATTACAGATAAAACAGTAGTTTTACTGCAGTTAGGATTATATTCTTTGTTACTGATAATAAAGCTCAATCTACATCTGTTGGTCTGTTCTTAGTCAAGCCAGGCTATCTGTCAGGAAGCAATCAAGCAAGCACAGCCCTGAACTTATTAATGGCGACGAGGTGAAACGGAGGAACAGACACTATAGTAACCCATCCAGACATCACAACAGATAATCCTGACTGTAGTTTTGAATTGGAACAATGGCTACTGAACAATTGAATCACCCATCCAGGTCAATCGGAAAGTTTGACCCAGAGATGCACACCACGAATGTTGCATGACGCATTCTGTGACTTTGTCAACCAGTTTCATTATGAATATGAGGCTATTGCGAGGGATCCCCTCAAGGCACGGAGGACACAAATGCATGGGTCCAGATCAACAAAAGAAAAATATTTCTTGGCCGTTCGCATCTCGCCAAACTTTCAAAAGACTTTGAAGACACTGTCGCAGAGACTGATCGCTCGCTTCTCAACATTCGCAAACCTCATTGCAAGAATGAAGGCCAGATATGAGCCCACTCGCAACTATTACCTTGGCCAATCATGAGTTTCATCGCTTAAATCAAGATCAGGACGAGAGCTTCAATAACTTTGTCCATCGTTTGCAGCATGAAGCTCGATCTTGCAATTCCAGCTGCAGCAATGAAGGCTGCGACATCCCAGATATCATGGTACGCGACCAAATTATAGTTGGAAACGAGACATGATGACATTAGAAGATATGCTCTAAAAAATCAGTGGGGGCTTAAGGACCTGATAGAAAATGGGCGCAAGATAGAGGCTGCATCCCACACAGCACAACGCCTCCTGGAAAACTCGACAACCGAGGAAGACTTCACCAGCATATCCAGGATGAGACCAGGGAAATACTCTCGTAAAACAAAGAAATCCAAAGCTGATTCAGGACCAAAACATCCTCTTTCCCAGTGCACCACATGTTCTTCGAAGACATGTCAGGGTGGAAAAACATGTCAGGCACGCCATTCAAACTGCTTCGCTTGTGGTAGAAAAGGCCACTTCAAAGGGTCAAAAATATGTAGAGGTAAACCAGCAGCAAGAGCACACAGGGTAAAGCCAAGAACTAGATCCTCAGAGCCACATTCGGAAACTGACAGCTCCTCTGAGAATGAAACAGAGGAAGAAAGCAGTCCACCCAGCTCCAAAGAAGGAGTGCGCAGAATGAGACGCATACATAGAGTCCAATGTAAGAAGGGAGTATCAAAGAACAGCCGTTCGAAGAAGCCTGCCTTCACCCCAGCCAATTCGCACGAAACAGGATCTACTATTCGCAACATAGCAAAACCTCGATACAGAGTGGAGATAATTGTAGCCGAGAGACGCATCAAAGGTTTCGCGGACACAGGAGCAGACATCAATGTGATGTCAGAGACTTCTGCATCCAAACTGAAACTGCCTCTGTGCAAAACAAAGATAAAGCTCAGACCGTATGGCTCCAAGCCAATCAGATGTGCTGGATATTATGAAGGTAGTATCATGTTCAAAAACGCAGTGACCACAGCTCGATTTTACATAGTCCCAGGTGATTCAGAAACACTACTCAGTGGCCAGCTTTGTGAAGAACTTGGAATCATCAAATTCAACAACTGCACAAAGGAATGTTCAGGCAAATTACGAGCTGTAAGAAAGCTCCATTCATCTGAATCAGACATTTTTGCAAAATACCCAGAGGTCTTCATGGGTGTGGGAACACTGATCGATCATGAAGTGCATTTCTATATGAAACAATAAAATATACCTCCTGTCTGCTGGCAAGGCAGCGCGTCCCTAATTCCCATTTCATCTCCGGGAGAGATGATTCCACAGGGCCTATTGTACCAATTGGAAGAACAAGGGAATCATCGGAAGAGCAGCAGCGGTCCAGCACCTTGGGCTCTCCAACCCGGGTGGCTCACACCAAAAGCAATGGTAATATCAGAGTAACCATAGATCTTAGAGCCTGTAAACAAAGCAATCAAAGCGACAAACATCCCAATTCCGCGGGTGGAAGACATCAAAGCCAAGCTGTCTGGGTGTGCAGTTTTCAGCAAACTAGACTTCAAAATCAGCCTTCCACCAACTTCTCCTAGATGAGAGTTCACGCATTGCAACAGTATTCCATGCTGGACAGCGTCTGATGCGATACAGAAAACTAACAATGGGAGCTAAACCGGCATCAGGCGAAATTAACTAAAGCGCTGATCCCAGTCTTCGCTAACATCAAAGGGTGTACATATCATTCATGACGATGTTATAGTGGCAGGCAAAGATAAAATAGAGCACGGACAAATCCTTGCACGAAAGCGCTCAATAAAAATACATCAAGTTGGCATGAACACTCAACCCAGACAAATGCATTTTTCGCAAATCAGAAATCCCGTTCTGGGGCATGATCGTTACAATAAATGGGGTTCGGGCCAGACCCAGTCCAAAGTGGAGTCACTTAAAAAAGCAACAAAACCTCAGTCAAAAGATGAAGTCATGTCCTTTCTTGTGCTTTGTACAATCATTTGGTGACTTCATTCCACACTTGTCAAGCAAGACCACACATCTGCGCAGCCTAACAAAGAAACACAAAGAATTTAGGTGGTCATCACAATGCAACAAAGAATTCAAAGCTCTAAAACAATCTTTGCAAGCAGACACAGAGCTAAGATATTTTGACATAAATTCCTTAACCTTCGTGTTCGTGGATGCCCATACATCTGGCATCTCAGCTATCCTCGCCCAAGGAAAAAGCATCCAGGAATCCAAAGCAGTAGCGTTTGCAAGCCGTGCAACTAAGCCGGAAGAACAACGCTACCCTCAACTCGATCTCGAAGCACTAGCTGTTGATTTTGCTTTGCGACGATTTCGCAACTATATCGCTGGAGGCCCACCAGTGAAAATCATCACAGACCATAAGCCACTGGTCAGCATTTTTAGCAATTCGCGCAAAGGCTCAATCAGAACCGACAGAATCAAAATGAGACATCAAGACATACTGTACGAAGTTCAATGGGAGCCAGGCAAGCACAATCCAGCAGATTATCTCTCACGACACTCAACTCCCTTCCATGAAACACCCGAAGAGTGCAGAAAGAGGCTGGAGAGCTTGAAAGGACTGTATACTGGCTTCAGTACGGGCCTTACATCGAAGCAATATCTATGTCAACCATCGCGCAAGAGACGAGCAAAGATAGAGTTTTGCGGAAGCTGAAAAAATACATTGTCAAAGGACAGATTCCTGAGCACAAAATCGAGCTTTAACGAGTACCGGAAATTCCAGGATCAGCTAACACTCGTTGATGGACTCATTATGAAAGCAAGACAAGATAGTGTTGCCAGAGACACTCTGGGAAAAAGCCATTGAAAAAGCACATCAAGGAGGCCACCCAGGGATTAATATTCTCAAGCGACGAATTCGCAGCCATTTCTGGATTCCAGGCTTAAACAAGCTTGCAGAAAACAAGGTAAAAAATTGTGAAATGTGCCAACAATTCACTAATAAGACAACCAAACAGCCACTGAAGTCAATCATTCCATCCAGATCAGCATGGGAAGAAGTCAGCATAGACCTTTTTGGCCCTATGCCAGATCACAAACATGTGGTGGTAATACAAGACATGAAGACGCAATTCCCAAATGCAAAAATTGTGAATTCCACAGCAGCACGTCATGTCATACCAGCTATAGAGGAAACATACACCTACTATGGGCAACCTAACACACATAGAACGGACAATGGACCACCATTCAACTCCAGAGAGTTCAAGGAATTTTCAGATAGACGTGGCATTACTCATCAGACATCCTACCCTTATCACCCTCAAGCTAACCCGGTGGAAACACTGATGAAACCTCTCGGTAAAGCAATGAAAATCGCACATGCTGAGGCAGGGACAAGACCAAAGCCCTAAACAACTTTCTGACAGGATTTCGATCTACCCCTCACATTGCCACGGGGCAATCACCAGGAAACCTTATGTTCAGAGGTGGCTACCAACAAGATTTTCCCCGCAAAGTACTCACTCCACAAGAAGTTCAAGATGCGGAATCTCTGGACATACAGCAGAAACTGGAGCGTCAAAGTTCCATCAACAGCTCTATCAAAAGAACACCTTCACAGTTCAGATATGGCGATATGGTACTGATGCGAAACAATAACGCTAAGAAATTCGACCCAATCTTCGGTCCAGATGTTCTCAAAGTCATCAACATTGGCTGTAATGGACTGGCACTAGAGCGTCAGTCTGATGGCAAAAGATTTCGAAGACATTTCGACGATGTGAAGCCATATTTCTCCGCACCACAACGTTCACGACTTTCTGCCCAAAACCAGACACAACCTCCTAGCTGGTGGCAATGGGATGATATGGCTCAGACTGACAGCAATCCCATTTCATTGGATACCCAATACCCAGAATACCAGTTGGATCACAGGCCACAGTCACACCCTGCGGTGCCACGAGCACTGAGTCGCTTAGCTGACTTCAACAATCCAGGGTACACAGAAATGTATGACTATTGAAACGAGTATAAAAGAGGGGAGTAGTGATATGTCCCAAAAGGTTCACTATCACCCTAAAATACAGTGTGACTCAGTGTACTGTAAAGTGCTTTATTGTGCTAATATTGTGTACAGTGTTTTAATATTATTTTATATGTACAGTAACACATAATTTCATTTCAATCTTCTTTTCCAACATGTATCCTTTCAGTAACACAACATTATGGCACTTGTGCCATGCCTTGACCTTTGCACCCCTCCATCTGTACATGACAATGAGCTTCCTGTCTGCCGGTACTCTGGTACTAGACTAGCCTTGTGCACTGAACAATCTGCTTTAACTATTAACCTGTAAATTACAGATAAAACAGTAGTTTACTGCAGTTAGGATTATATTCTTTGTTACTGATAATAAAAGCTCAATTCTACATCTGTTGGTCTGTTCTTAGTCAAGCCAGGCTATCTGTCAGGAAGCAATCAAGCAAGCACAGCCCTGAACTTATTAGGGCACTCAATTCGGTACTCCCGTAGTATGTGTACCAGGTTAGAGTAAGGCCATAATTTTATCTCGATTTTCCTTTTTGTAATTCTATTATGAGTTCGGGGACTGGTTATGTTAGCCAAGTGCCCCCTGCCCATAGGTTTCATTCCCTTTACACAACCTGATGTAAAATAGGCGAACAAAATTAGTTACCTTACATATTGGTACACACACACTTCTGGAGAGTCCTCAAGTCTTTCCCTTCTTTACTTACTGACAGTAATGAAACCTGTAACTCAATGCTCTAGTTTATCAGACCATACTATCACACAACACACAGACAGCTCAACTTGCAAATGCTTTGACTAGATCGTCCTATTCATAACTCGCTTTCCTGTGAGTCACAGGCAATCAGAGCAGTGTTCCTCCTCACATGAAACATGATCAGTGTTCCCTTAACAGATATTTGGGTACTCCCCCAGTATGTGAACCAAGATGGCGGACACCTGCACATGGTATGAGTACCAGGTCAGGGTCAGGCCATGATTTTATTCCAATTTTCCTTATTTTAGGTTCTATTACAAGTTTTGGGGACTAGCCAAGTGATTTCCGTGTTATTTGTACCTGAAATTATGGCCTGACCCTAACCTGGTACACATACTACGTTCCGGTATTCGCTATCTTGTTGCACATACAACAGGAATACCCAAATAGGTTCCTGGCTATGAGTTAACTCTCGTTTCACAATCTAGGAAGGAAATTTACTGTATTGGGGGAAAAATTTTACTTTGCATTTGTGTGAAGTATTACCGTTATTCTTTGATTCTTTAGCAGTATTATAAACCAGTGATTCCCAAACTTTTCAATATCGTTCCCCCTAAATAAAATTACCGAATCTCAATTACCTCTTCCATATAAAAACAGTAGTTATATTGTTATTACTTTTTCTTTGACCAAAAATTGTGATTATACTAACACCTTTTGCATTTTCCGATCCAAATTTTGAGATGCTTAACTAGCGCTAGCTTATCATTTTATCCTTTTATCTGTACGATGAAGTACTGTTATTATGTTCCTACAGAGCGCGTGACTAGACGACTAGGCTCATTAAATAGATGCAAGGATTACATGGCCGCTTAACTTCGCGTTGCCGGCGGCAAAGCACCAGACTATTGTTCCACTTAGGCGGGATTCTGTCTAGATCAGCCTTTTGGGGTTATCACCCCCAGTTTGTTAAACACTGATATAGACTATTCAAACTGTGGAAAAGCTAAAGTTTGAGAATTTTTAATAAAAATTGCCCAAAGCAAGATAAGGTGCACTGACTCAAAAATATAGGCGATTGATTTTTGACTAAAGTTCTAAAAACTGCTGACACTATAAAAAATCATGATGTAGAACAGTGGCTTTTATGGCTCCCCTTTCAAAGGCTTTAGGCATTCCCGGCCCCTCGTTTTTCATTCTAATGGTATTTGTAGTGTTATTTTGATTGATTAATTCCAAATCTCATTATATTCAAACAATTCATGCTCAACAAAGGAAAAACACCTTGCGAAATAACCTTATCAAGTAGGAAAAACTACGAGTTTTCTTGCCAAGGTAAAAGTAAGTTTTGTGCTCGGCACTTTGGCCCCCTTTAACTGCTCTGTGGCCCGCCCAAGCGACCCTCGGGTGATAACCGCTGCCCTAGAATTTTGCGGTAGTAAATAAAGCATGAGAGCCTTATGCACGGCAGATAATTCAGACAGCCATATGTTCTGAAGTGACAAAACCGCCATTTTCAGATTTATTGGTTCATAGTAATTCAGTTAAATATTAACCAGGTTTATGTTACCACAGATTTTATTAACCAGACGTTATTAAATGTTGTAGCAGTAAAAATAAAAGATACCGAGATATTGATCCAAGGTTTTATTAATGAATACAAGAGAGCTATGCTCAAATACATGGACACGTAGCGCCACCCAGTGGCAATAATTTTGATGACGTCATAGCGAAAAAAAAAGTAATAGCCTTCTGGAGAAAAATTTTATCTTTAACCACTGAAAATATCAAAGCAATTGGTCCAGTATTCGATGAGAAAAGCAATTTTTTAAAAATGGAGACGGAGACAAATAACGATAGCAATAACAACAAAATTTTGAAACGATCGTTATGGCCACTAAACGTGTCCAATAACAATGTCACTACTGTTTTCTGACTTCTCCTCCCAAAACTGGCTAAATTTGCTGAATATTTTATCAATTTAACACAGTGGTTCTCACACTTTTTAAGCTGTGCCCACCTTTTCTAGATTTTGTCAAGTCTCGTGCCCACCTGTTGAAAATAACTAGCTAACAATAAGCTACAAATAACAGATAGTGAGGCGAAAGTATGTTTAATTTAAAAAACACATTGAAATTACTTGGATGGAACGTAAATATCCAAAATGAAGGAAATGTAAATATCTGAATGCGGGCAAGATCGAATCCAGCAAATATTTTTATTTTCAACGTCCCTCAATAAATTGTTTATGCCCCCCTTGTGAGGTGCGCACCACTGTTTGAGTACCACTGTTCTACCAGAAGATTTAACATCATACAGGGAGTCTTCGGGTTACGACGGACACAACTTACGCTGTTTCGAGGTTACGAACGCGCACTCCATAACGCTGTTTCGAGGTTACGAACGCGCACTCCATAACGCTGTTTCGAGGTTACGAACGTACTCCATAAAAAAATATGAAGGATAATACTGTACTGTACAGTATTTGCTTTTATTCATGTTATATGGAATTGTTTTCTGTTTTTTTTATTAAAATACTTTTTTGCATTATTCGTACATTTTATTACAGTACCTAAACCCAAGTTGTGTACCAGGTTATGGTTCAGGTTGAGCGACATCTTGCTGCACATACTTCAGGGGTACCATTTAATCAAATTAAAAGTTGACAAATTTTTTACGCTTTGATACTACCACATATACAATTACTATTGAGCAACACTCTAATACCAAAAGAAAATAATAAATAAAAGAAAACTAGAAATTTCCAAGTTTTTTGTAGTAAAAAAAAACGCCTGAAGGGTATTTTCAGATGTATTTCCAGCTCTGGGTCGTAATCTATAGGTTGGGAAACAATGCTATAGCAGGTACAAAGATGACTATACTAAGTAATTCAACACTCCTGCTGCACACTAACACAAATGTATTTCTGGAACGTTTTATCTGACCAAAGTCAGATTAACATATGTTAGTATCTATGAGTTTCGGACATGCAAGACTAACTCCCTATCCTTCTCATATACCGGTAAGTCAGACTTCCCCAGACAAGCAGTTTACAACACTGACAATAAATATTCTCTAATCACTCTCAATCCTCTGGAAATTCCAATATTTAACCTATCTAACCATTGAAAGACCACCATCATATTACAAACAATAGGCTCTGTGATACACAATAGCCTACTTCCTATAAATAGACGACGGCACAAAGCATTATGACAACATATTGAATGAATTGGTTTCTCGGAAACATAAAAATTACGCTCTACCAAGGTTGGGAAGTAGTTAAATCAAGCCATTTCTCTGCTTTTAATTATCTATTGCGCATCAGCTGACAGGATTAGCACCATTGTGTTACAATTTCCTCGAAATTTTTTCTTTTACCATGTGCAGCCATCTGAGTAAGAGCAACAAGCAACATCTGAGCCTATATGAGCAACGAGTAATATTCAAGGACATGCATACAGATACTATTATTTTGGGAGGAACAAAATATTTCTGGTTCTACACCACGTGTGAGGTAGGGGGCATGGGATTTGAACTTGAGAGATGTAATCTGCTGTGCTATGATCGACTCGACTTCAAAATTAGAATTTCACTAACTAACTAAGATGACCTTCAACTCGAATTTATGGACATTTACCCACTACTGGACATTTTACTAAACT